AACGCGATGATCAATTTATTTTGCCAAAAGTTTGCACAGAACGTTTTAAACAATCATTTTTAAATAAGTTACTTTTTAATGATTTTATATTTTTTCATACGGTATATATTAACAGTAACGTTAACACATCTCTAAGTAATCTAATTATTATATCTTATATGCACTGATCGTTTTAAACAACTTTTAATGACTTTTAAAATTTGGTTTTACGGTATATATTAACTGTAACGTTAACACATTTGTAAATAATGTAATTTTACCTAATATGTACTGTAAAGTTGCACGTTTTTTGCAACTCCAATATTTATGATAGATTATAATAAAGACGTACGAATGAATGAATGTCCCATGTGGTCTAGTTGTTAGGATCTGGCGTTTTCACCGCCATGGCCCGGGTTCGATTCCCGGCATGGGAATGCTTTTTAGGATATTCGATGACTTTTGTTTCGACGACTGCATCGTGGATATTCAACTGCAAAATCTTTTTAACGATGGCCTTGTGGCGCAACTGGTAGCGCGTCTGACTCCAGATCAGAAGGTTAAGTGTTCAAGTCACTTCAAGGTCATGACGAACCTTAGGAATTTTCTTGAAAATGTTCGATATCAGAATAGAGAATCCTTTTACATTTAGAGGTGGTTGCAATGTTGGTCGATCGAATTCCCATGTGGTCTAGTGGTTAGGATATGGCGCTCTCACCGCCATGGCCCGGGTTCAATTCCCGGCATGGGAAAATTTGTGCCCTCGTGCTGTTGACGTTTTGCTACGTCCATCATTTCAATTTGCAGTGCCGCAAACACCGTAGCTAAAGAAGACCACAATGAGTAATTACTGACGACGTGTGTACCAATTCTAAAAATAACTTGGTGGTGTTTAAATCCACAGCGAAATAGTAAAAATTGCTCAAAAATGACTGAGCTGTATATCGCGTTGGTGTTTCAGTGGAAAAATTCTCGCCTGCCACGTGGGAGACCGGGGTTCGATTCCGTGCCAACGCAGAGTATTTTACCTCTCGCATGATGGTTTCATGAATTTAGTGAATAATTGCTATAATCATGCACATGGACAGAAATTGGAATCGCCCCAACACATGTCTAAAGAAGAACGCGATCATCAATTTATGTTGCCAAAAGTTTACACAGAACGTTTTAAACAATCATTTTTAAATAAGTGTCTTTTTAATGACTTTTAGAATTTTTTTATACGGTATATGTTATAACAATAACGTTAACATATTTCTAAATAATCTAATTATTTTATCTTATATGCACTGATCGTTTTAAACAACTGTTAATGACTTTTAAAACTTGGTTTTACTGTAGATATTAACTGTAACGTTAAAGCATTTGTAAATAATGTAATTATATCTTATATGCACTGTAAAGTTGCACGTTTGTTGCAACTCCAATATTTATGATAGATTTTAATAAAGACTTACGAAAGAGTGAATGTCCCATGTGGTCTAGTGGTTAGGATCTGGCGTTTTCACCGCCATGGCCCGGGTTCGATTCCCGGCATGGGAATGCTTGTTAGGGTATTCGATGACTTTTGTTTCGACGACTGCATCGTGGATATTCAACTGCAAAATCTTTTTAACGATGGCCTTGTGGCGCAACTGGTAGCGCGTCTGACTCCAGATCAGAAGGTTAAGTGTTCAAGTCACTTCTAGGTCATGACGATCCTTAGGAATTTTCTTGAAAATGTTCGATATCAGAATAGGGACGGGTCATTATTTAAGGCGGGGGGTGGCACCGAAGAGAAATGTTTTTCGTGGCAAAAATTTTGCCGACCCAACCATTAAAAAGTAAAAAAAATTAATTACCCAACCTCAAATATCAATTAAAAAATAAATACCCACCCCTGGCCAAATCATTTACAAAAGGTACCATTCAGTTGTCACATATGTCCTTTACCACTTCTGTGACATAAGTTTGATAACAGATTTTATAATATAGCATTTGTAAATTCTGAATGCTGATTGGCTAAGAGCCGTGTTGATATAACTCGATGTCAACACAGAAATGTCGGAAAATTTCTTTCTTTATATTTCTATGTGCTATATTTTTTCGGGCGTTGTGTTTCCACACAATTAATTTCTCGTTTTCCCAATTTCCACTCGTGTTGATATAAAAGACCCATAGGTCCCATACTCGACTAGCAACATAATCAAGTTAGTTATATTAATTCATTAGATAGGATCAATGTTAAAGGCAAGGTGGGCTACAAGCAATAATCATTTGTATGGTTTATAGAAGGCTAATTGCTGTGAATAAATTGAATAATGAATGTAGCACAATATTAAATAGTTGCATGATGACGTCAAAGAGACAAGTCAGACTACATTTGCAAGTTTTGCAACTCTCATCGCTTAAATTCCCCATACCTGAATACAAAATAAACAGTAAACAACAATTACGTTTTACATACCCTACATAAAATGGAGCTTTCATCCTTTCTAGAAACTCACTTCCTGCACTTTTGAGTGCAAATGTAATGTACTAATGTATTAAAAAATTTACATTGTATATCATATTTACAGCGGTTAATACCATTAATATATTGCGGGCACAATACAAAACATGATAATTTTAAAATGTTAAGTTTTGATTTGCAAATAAATAAATAATATTTGATGTCATAAAAATTTTTAAATTTAACTCAACACAAACTGGTAAGTTCATGACATGTATAATTTACTTATATGTTTTATATTGCAATTCTGTACCCTACTCCTTTGAAAATTGTTTGCAATTGCATATGATGTTGTCATGTATTATAGTTGTGTCATGAATTTAATAATACCTCAATGGCTTCGAAATAGACAATGGACGAAAAAAGTCATGAATATTTAGCTTATTTACCCTTTAAACACTTAATCGTCAGTCATGTGCATACAGTGTATTGTTTGTTACCAGAACCCCCTCAAGCAGACTTCAACTTTTCTTGTCAAATTGTATATCTTGCTTCATACACTGCACACGTGTGTATTTGTGGGAACACTCATGTTTGGATGATTGGGATAAGTTAATGGTAATTTCACTGGAGTGATCAGGGATATAGTTGTATATTCCTGAAATTACCTCTAAACACCTAAAACAGCATTCCCTAAAATTTTAATTGTTTTCTTTCACATCGCTCAAACACACATTGCTTAAAAATTGCAGATTTTGCTTAAATCACATACCTAAAATTGCTTATCTCGTTATCGCCCCAGAGTAGTAGGGCCTACTGTTGCCATTGCTTTTTAGTCTCCAATACTTCAGTGAGTCATGCTTTGGAATTGACAATAATTTTGTATTACCCAACCGTTGAGTTGTTTTGTTTTTCATTTATCCAACATTTTACTTACTCAAAATTTAGTTTACCCAACCCTTTTCTCTTCGGTGCCACTCCCCACCATAAATGACCGGTCCCATAGAGAAGCCTTTTACATTTAGTGGCGGTTGCAATGTTGGTCGATCGAATTCCCATGTGGTCAAGTGGTTAGGATCTGGCGCTCTCACCGACATGGCCCATGTTTAATTCCCGGCATGGGAAAATTTTATTCCGCGCTTACATTCTAAGAATTGTACCCTCGTGCTATTGACGTTTTGCTACGTCCATCATTTTAATTTGCACTGCCGCAAACAACGTAGCTAAAGAAGATCACAATGAGTAATTACTGACGACGAGTGTACAAGTTCTAAAAATAACTTGGTGGTGTTTAAATCCACAGCGAAATAGTAAAAGTTGCGAAGAAATGACTGTGCAGTATATCGCGTTGGTGGTTCAGTGGTAGAATTCTCGCCTGCCACGCGGGAGACCGGGGTTCGATTCCCCGCCAACGCAGAGTATTTTACCTCTCGCATGATGGTTTCATGAATTTAGTGAATAATTGCTATCATCATGCACATGGACAGAAATTGGAATCCTTCCAACACATGTCTAAAGAAGAACGTGATGATCAATTTATGTTGCCAAAAGTTTACACAGAACGTTTTAAACAATCATTTTTAAATAAGTGTCTTTTTAATGACTTTTAGAATTTTTTTATACGGTATATATTATAACAATAACGTTAACATATTTCTAAATAATCTAATTATTTTATCTTATATGCACTGATCGTTTTAAACAACTTTTAATGACTTTTAAAACTTGGTTTTACTGTATATATTAACTGTAACGTTAACACATTTGTAAACAATGTAATTATATCTTATATGTACTGTAAAGTTGCACGTTTGTTGCAACTCCAATATTTATGATAGATTTTAATTAAGACTTACGAATGAATGAATGTCCCATGTGGTCTAGTGGTTAGGATCTGGCGTTTTCACCGCCATGGCCCGGGTTCGATTCCCGGCATGGGAATGCTTTTTAGGATATTCGATGACTTTTGTTTCGACGACTGCATCGTGGATATTGAATGGCAATATCTTTTTAACGATGGCCTTGTGGCGCAACTGGTAGCGCGTCTGACTCCAGATCAGAAGGTTAAGTGTTCAAGTCACTTCAAGGTCATGACGAACCTTAGGAATTTTCTTGAAAATGTTCGATATCAGATTAGAAAAGCCTCCTACATTTAGTGGTGGTTGCAATGTTGGTCGATCGAATTCCCATGTGGTCTAGTGGTTAGGATCTGGCGCTCTCACCGCCATGGCCCGGGTTCAATTCCCGGCATGGGAAAATGCAAATTCTCTACAGACAATGCCTTTTATTCCGTGCTTACATTCTAAGAATTGTGCGCCCGTGCTGTTGACGTTTTGCTACGTCCATCATTTCAATTTGCAGTGCCGCAAACAACGTAGCTAAAGAAGATCACAATGAGTAATTACTGACGACGTGTGTACCAATTCTAAAAATAATTTGGTGGTGTTTAAATCCACAGCGAAATAGTAAAAATTGCGAAGAAATGACTGTGATGTATATCGCGTTGGTGGTTCAGTGGTAGAATTCTCGCCTGCCACGCGGGAGACCGGGGTTCGATTCCCCGCCAACGCAGAGTATTTTACCTCTCGCATGATGGTTTCATGAATTTGGTGAAAAATTGCTATCATCATCCACATGGACAGAAATTGGAATCGCTCCAACACATGTCTAAAGAAGAACGCGATGATCAATTTACGTTGCCAAAAGTTTACACAGAACGTTTTAAACAATCATTTTTAAATAAGTGTCTTTTTAATGACTTTTAGAATTTTTTATACGTTATATGTTATAACAATAACGTTAGCATATTTCTAAATAATCTAATTATTTTATCTTATATGCACTGATCGTTTTAAATAACATTTAATGACTTTTAAAACTTGGTTTTACTGTATATATTAACTGTAACGTTAACACATTTTTAAGTAATGTAATTATATCTTATGTGTACTGTAAAGTTGCACGTTTGTTGCAACTCCAATATTTATGATAGATTTTAATAAAGACGTACGAATGAATGAATGTCCCATGTGGTCTAGTGGTTAGGATCTGGCGTTTTCACCGCCATGCATGGCCCGGGTTCGATTGCCGGCATGGGAATGCTTTTTAGGATATTGGATGACTTTTGTTTCGACGACTGGATCGTGGATATTCAACTGCAAAATCTTTTCAACGATGGCCTTGTGGCGCAACTGGTAGCGCGTCTGACTCCAGATCAGAAGGTTAAGTGTTCAAGTCACTTCAAGGTCATGACGAACCTTAGGAATTTTCTTGAAAATGTTCGATATCAGGATAGAGAAGCCTTTTACATTTAGTGGTGGTTGCAATGTTGGTCGATCGAATTCCCATGTGGTTTAGTGGTTAGGATCTGGCGCTCTCACCGCCATGGCCCGGGTTCAATTCCCGGCATGGGAAAATGCAAATTCTCTACAGACAATGCCTTTTATTCCGTGCTTACATTCTAAGAATTGTGCGCCCGTGCTGTTGACGTTTTGCTACGTCCATCATTTCAATTTGCAGTGCCGGAAACAACGTAGCTAAAGAAGATCACAATGAGTAATTACTGACGACGTGTGTACCAATTCTA